TCAAATATTTAAATGCTGTACCTATATGGCTTTGTGGAACTAATTTTTTATGAAAAGTAATAGTTAATCTTCATTCTTTGTGTTTGTATAGAAGACTGATTTCAACAGATTGACTTGGATATTGTGTAGAGTATAGAAAGAGTCTACTATATCTAGTATATATAGAAGGTCTTTCTTATTATATGCTATCCATACTGAGTTATCCATATATACCATTATGAGTATATTTATATTTGGGGTTTCCTCTGCATACTTTGTTATTATCTTATATCTTCTGTATTCTGCATTTACTTGACTTATTAAAGGGTTGTAGAATATTCTCCAAAGGATAGATGAGATAGTTTCCTCTTAATCGATTCTATCTCTTATGCTGTATTTGTTTGTAAGCTTATGATTTGTAATTACTTGATTTGTATGATTAGTAAACAGAGAGATTATAATTGAGATAAATTTTTCTAGTAAGCATATACACTTTATTGCTTTTGCAAGAGTTGGTATATGGACTGTATCATAGGCTTTTGATATATTCTGTAGTAATATTCATAATTCTTTGTTATTTTCAGATGCATCTTCAAATATATGGTTTAATATATTGATATTATTATAAGTTGATTGGTATGGTAGTGCTGCAGAGTTGCATAGTGAAAGAATTTCATACTATGCTAGTTTGGTAGTTAGACAGACTGTTAAGATCTTAGTAAAAAGTTTTCGAGTATGCTCAATTAGTGTTATAGGTCTTGTATAGCTCAAATTATTGTTGTATTGTGAGTGCTTTAAGACTGGCCAAATATTTGAATTTAATCATGCTTTAGATACACTTTCTAGTTGTAAACAGGTATTCATGATATTTAGCAGAAACAATATTGTCATTTCTGAAAGTTGTCAAAGTATTTCATTTGATATTTATGAAAGCCCAGGAGCCTTATTATGTAGTGATACTTTGATTACCTCTTGAAGTTCTTCAATCATAATTTTTGTTGTGAAGTTACTATAAGTGGAAGGTGATAAGCTCTCTATTAGTTTATAATATTTCTCCCATAAGTGCCAAAGGTTACTGTTAGATGAATTGTATCTTGTCTAATTTACAAAATATTTGCTTGTATATTCTTTTATATCTCTTGGTTTTGTAATTATTTCGTCTGCTATGATAACTCTCTGAAAGTCTACTTTCTCTTTTTTTCTTTTGAGAATACTATCTAGCATTTTCAAAGTATTACTTTAAAAGTTGTCATATCTTTTGTTAATAAAGAAATTTATTCTTTCTGTTTGTTTAAGATTTAATTCTAAGTTCTGTGCTTTCCATAATTCATCTTTCTTTTTATGCAGAATTGATTTGAGTGGTAAGTTAAGAATTGATAAATCATTCTCAGTTAGATATAGAATCTCTTGCTTTATTAGTTTATTAGCTCTTGTTATATATCTGTTGATTTGTTGTATAGCACATACAGTAGATATTAATACTTTTACTATTTGCCATGCTCGTAATACTTTTTTAATATGCAATAGTACCTGATGGAGCAGGGTTGCTTTTAGTGAGAGTGCGTAGAATTATTTGTTTGAGCTATATGAGAATAGAATATATTTGTTTGCTATCTGCTTTACTATACTATTCTCTAATTCCCATTATTTGTTTAGTACTATATGGTTGTTTATAGGCTCAATACTAAGTTTTTCTATTATCTTATTACTAACAAATGTTTTGAGTTCTTCCCATTGCTTTTTTGTCATCTTGTCGTAGTTATAAAACTTATGTCTACGTTTTTTTGTCATCTCTGTTTATATGTAAAGTTTGTATACCAGGTAGATAATATTATACAATAATTACTGTCTGTAATATTGCATAGATTGACTAGCTCTAGTATATCTATATCTAGAATAAGTTCTGGTATAGTTCAGATATTATCGATCTGACTTGATAGATGACCATGTTGCTAGGTAGAAGCCATTATATTATAGAATTGTAGTAGACTATTTAGGCTTAAAGTTTCTAGATGCGTAAATAAAACTTTATACTTGTTTTTGAGTAAGTGATTAGCATTAAAATCTCCTATAATTATACACTACTAGTTTCTTATCTTTGTTTCAGTTATCTATAAGTTGATCATTCTTTGTATGCTAAGTACCAACTCAGGATAGTTCATTGAAATGTATATTGAGATAAATCTAATTTTGTTTTTTCTAGAAAACTAGAAGTCAATAAAGATTGCTGTGCCAGAGTAGTTCCTAGTATTATTGATATATGGGCTAATTGAGTTATGGATTGCAAATGCAGTTCCTAGGAAGGCTTCATGCTGTATATTATTTTTGGGTATGAAATTAGAGGAGAAAATTTTGTATACTAGATTAGTTAGAGTTAATATGCTCTCTGTTTTTAGTTTAGTTTCTGTTATTGAAATAATATGCAATTGTTTTTCTTCACAATATGTTAGCTAATTATGTAGTTTAAGTCTGTTATTTAGTCTTTGCATGTTATAAGTTGCAAAGTTGATTTTTTCTAAAGATTGTTCTCTAATCATTTTTGTTATTCTCTAGACTGGTATTCATATCTGTATTGATTTGAGTTTGTTGTAAGTTATTGTTATTAAAGATCTTCTAGCTAGGTTCTAGTAGATCAGGTAGATCAAAGACAAATGAAGGAAATGTTTGAATTGTGAAGTATGCTTAGAATAATTCTGTCACTTCTAATACTTCTTTATACCTTTTAATTAGGAAGTTAAGATGTGAAAGTAAATTAATTTGTTTTGTGATTGTTGAGAACTGTTCTAGTATATTGGGCATTCTACAAAGTTTATCTACAGTACTGTTGAGATTTTCAATTTGGATCCAACTTTCAGGAATCTTTTTGAAGTAATAGTATTTTCTAAGGTCCTTAACAGTAATACTGAGTTGTTTAGCTATAGTGAATGCGATTGTTAGATTAACTTTATCTACTTGTGTATATTCCTCAGTAAGCTCTAGTAGATCTATTAGATTTACTGTCATATAGCTATCTAGAAATAATGCAAATACCTGGTATATTGGTGATATTTTATCTATGAATGCACATGCAGTAGCCTTATCTTCAATTGGAAAAACATATTTGTTTTCGAGATATAGTTTGTTTGGATCATTTGGTAGATAATATTTCTGTATAATATAATCATTCAGTAATCTTGTAAAGGTATAGCTCTCTTTTAGAAGATGTACATGTTCTTTAAAATCTTCTGCATTTTTCAGAAGAAAAGGAAATATTTCTCTAAGGTGAGGTATGAGCTCCTGTGGTAAACAAGGAAGTTGTAGTTTTGGAGCTGATAAGTCAAAGTATATATCTAGGAGGCGATATACAATATATGTTGACTGTAGTTTCTTCTTATATTTTGTAATTGATTTTAATTCTGCAAAAGTGGTAATTAGAAATAGATCTCTCAAAGATTCAGTAAGTAATAATGATGACTCTGGAAGTGGTAGCCTCTTGTCATTAAAATATGATTCTAGAATTCACATGAATGTATAGGCAAGTTTTAGTATCTTTGCTATTACCTCTGCTTGTTATTTATTTTTGTTTGGAAGTGTAAAGGGAATTGCTTCTCTGATGTCATTATCTATAAGATTTGGAATGTTAGGTAATGGTATGAGAAGGTGATCTTCTCAGCCTTGACTATATTTAATATATCTTCAAATTTTAGCTCAGTCTGTATTTTTGCAAAGTTAATTAGGTAGAAGACATGTCGAGTTATCTTATATATATCTAGTTTTCCTATATCCAAGTTTAGATAAGCATCTAGTAATAGTTTTGTACATAATTTCATAAATATCTGATCTCTGTTTTTCTTGTTTGTAATACAGATACTATGTAATTTTTTGTATGACTCTAGAGCATTATGCATTAAAGATTTAAACTCAAGCTAGTATGCTGGATGAGAGGCTACTACTCTTGTAAAAGAGTGAAAGAAAGCTGTATTACAGTATTCAAATTTCTTTTTGATAGCATATGGAATATTGAACAAAATTAGAAGTATGTCTAGTTTGTATCTAATCAGCTTTTTCATAGTTTCAATTGTTGTAAAGGAACTGATGATTCTGTTTAAATTCTAGATTTGTACATCGTACCTATTGAGTTTCCTTTTTTTGATATCATATAGACTTTCTTTAAACTGCTGAACCCAGATACTTCCATAATTAGTTCTATTTTGAGTAGTTGGTTGTCTGTGTAGACCTTGTGATGTAATATGACTATAAAGAGAATGTATGCTTTTACTATCTTCTATTGTATTGTCTGAATCTGCTTCTGACATATAATCATTTTACTTCACCAGAGCAGGTTCATTCTTTGTCTCAGTTGTTTGGGTCACCTGTTCTCTGTTAGCTAAGTTTGTTGTTTCAGTACCTAGCATAGGAAAATTAGTACAGATCTCTTTTCCTTTTCTAGTTGATGTTTGCTGCAGTTGATCTCAATTTGTGTTTGTTGTGTTGTGATTTTCAGGTGATACAAGATTGCTCAAATTTTTAGAGAGGGAAGCATCACCACTTTGTTACATTAATATATCGTCTTCAGTTTGTATTTTATTTTGAAGACTGCTGTTGCTAGTAGTAGAAGTAGTAAAGTTCTTTCTTTATTTTTTACTATTCTATATATTTCTTTGTAACATGTTTGCTATGCTACTTGTTGTTTTACTATAATAAGATAGTTTTGTATTCTTTTGTTTTGTTGCTAAACTAGTCAGCAACAAGTCTTTGAAGAGTATTGGTATAGCAAAACTCTGTCATATGTCCTCTTAATCTTGTTTAAGTTGCAGTCTGTAAAGAGGTTTGTTTCAATCTATTATAATAGTTATTTAATTACTTATTAACTTGTGTATTTCATTTATCGTTTTGTTGTTTTTATTTTTTATATAAAACTCAGGGGTACGGGAAAGAGTTTTTTGTTTATAATTGATAGATAAAAATATAAAACTTGATGTCATAGAAATTTCCAAATTTGAAAATTTGGTGACAATCATAAACCCAGATACTAATAAACAATGCATAGAATTTGGCGCAATGCAATGATCAAGGATCTTGAAGTTGAAATATATGCGTGTAATATAGATCAATTAATATCAATAAAATTTAAAGATGGGATCGCTCTTTCTAAAATTTTAGAAACTATATTGGATAATGCAAAAATAAGGATATATGGGAAATTAACAGTTCTTTTTCATATTATAAATTTGAATGATTTTCTGCAAACTAATCAAAACATTGAACTTTGTATGTTGTTTGATCCACCAACCTTTAAATATAGGCTTAGAAATATTTCGATTACTTTAAATAGCGATAATGTTTCTCGAGCATGGCATTCTCACTTACCTTCTCAAATTGAACCAGTAGAAAATCTAAATGAAACGATAAAGATATTAATCTATAATCCACTGAATTTAGCAAAAATAGAAGTTTACCTAGAAATTAAATTCTATACTTCAAATAAAAATTCTTCAATAAATCTCTTAGCAAACCTTTCTTATCAACCAGCAAAATACGTTATTAATATCGAATCGCAAAATTCAGATGGCATTGATGATAAATTTCCAACTATTGAAGAAATATTACAGAGTTTGAATCTCTATGAAGCATTTATAGAATTAGAAAATTTTTCTCCTATTATTTGGAATAATATTCTTGAACGGCTGCATAATATCAAATTTCACTATCTTAATTTGCAGGTTCAAAAAGAACAAACTACCGAATATAAAGTTAAGGATTTCAAACTTGGTGTCTTAATTCCATGCTTCGTAATCAAAAAAGATTTAATAGAATTCAAACAAACATTTCTTGATCTTGAATATTCAGATAAAAAATGGTTTGGAGAAATTAATGGAAAAGTTGAGATAGACAAGAAATATGATTGTTCTATCAGGTATTTGGCTCCAACAAAAGAATGTTCAGGAACTTTAGTTATCGAAAATCTTTTGGAAGATTTTACTTTACTTGAAGCTCTTAGAATTTTTGAACTTGGTGATATTTCTAAAATCCCTACTCTCGGAAATCTGCTCGCAAGTACAAGTATTTCAAAAATTAATATTAATTTGAATAAAAATTCAGCTTTCTCCATTCAAGAATTATCTATAGATCTTAAAATAGACAATCTTAATTTGGAACCTCTAAATATTAATAATGCGAAAGTGAAAATTTTTTATTCCACTGCAAAAAATGAAAACCAATCAGTGATCCGGAAATATAATATTGAGGGTACAATAAACGATACATTGCTTGCAAAATTGAGCTATGATAATAAAGAACAACAAATTCGAGCTACTTTGTCACCTTACAAAGAACAAACCCTTGCAAAAACTGTCGATTTGTTGATACCTTTGATAATAGAAACATTTGATAATTCTATATTTAGTAAAATATATAATTATAATGTTAAATCAGTTGATTTGATCATAGGTAGTATCAAGGCGAACTAGTTCTCGGAGAAACTAACCTTGATAAATTAACATTAAAATATCATAAAGAAGCACTATTTAATTTAGAAGCTGAAATATCTCGTCAGAATTTAAAACCATACGATAACAAACTTTGTACAAAGATAGTAATTGATTGTAAAAGAAATAAAAATTGGTTGACAGTTAAAGCTTCGATAATACCAATTGAACAAACTTCCTTATCTTTAATTGATTTATTAAATCTTGTCACGGGGGGATGTAAATTTGAGTTACCTAAAAATTTATCAAATTTGCCAATATTTGATAATCTTATAGTAGAAGACGAAAGTTTTGTCGAAATCTCATTAACACCTTTTGAGATAATCAAATATACCGTTTCGGTGAAAAGTAATACTTCTTATAAACTATTGGAAGAGCCTTTAATTAGGTTAGAAACTGTTGGAGTTTTGGTTAATTATGATCGCAGTAAGCCTAAGGATAAAACATGTGAAGGAATGCTATTTGGAACGGTTGTTCCGAGTTATGCTATTAAAATCTTATTAGTAGTCTCAAAATCTGAAAAAGTCAATGGAGACATTGTTGTCGCAAGTTTCCTAGCTACTACAGAAAAAGGAATTTATTTTTCAGACATTGCCAGTGTGTTCCTACAATGGGAAGATAAGAGTAAATGGTTAAATCGCGACGTAAAACAATTGAAATTTAGAGCATCATTACCAAATGAACTAAATAAGATTTCTGATCAATTATTTTCCAATACATCGACCAATCCAGAAGCCTATCTTTACATTAATATTACAAAAAAGGTTGTTGCATTATTTGCAAGAATCGAATCAATTGGAGATGCTTTGCTCTTGGTTAAAAAATCACCTCAAGAAAATAAGAGAGAATATATTTTCGCTATTAACACTCGTGAAAGTTTTAAATTCGGTGATATTTTCAACTCTTCAAATGATGTATATAAAATATTACCACTTACACGAGGCAATATTCTATATTTATCAGGCTCAAATTTAATGTTTGATCAAATTGACGAAGAATTGAACTCTATATGTTTGACACTAGAGAAATTATTAAATGTTAAAATTAATTCGCTCATAACGATTAAATTACCAAATAATCGAGAGGATGTTTACGTTCCGGAATTAAAGCCTGGAATGTGGTTGTATGCTGAATTGAATTACAATATACCATATAGTGCTTTGTTGGATAATTTTTATGCTACATGCGTTTTGAAATCAAATGTCCAGAGATCAAACTCTTATCTTATATTGGCGCTAATAGTTCATCAAAGAGCGAATTCAATGCAGCTATTACTAACTTGACCTTTTATGGTGGTATAAGTTTTGAAAGTATTAAGTTAAATTTTGTTCCAAACGATAAGAGATTAAGAATTAGTGGGAATTTAAATTTTGAGAAATACTTGAAAACGAATTGTGTAATCGAAGGTGAATTAGAAATTGAAGAAAAGAAATCCAAATTTGATGGTAAAATATCTGCCATTTCGGAACCATTTGGAATGAGTGGGATAATTTTAAGGATGTTTCTCTCAAAATTAAATTCGACTATTCAGATAATTCTGATAAAGAAAAGAAAGAAAAGTCTACTACATTGGTAAAACGCAGGAAGTTAAAACAATGAATATACATTAGAAGGCAATGTTGAGCTTCGTTTCTCAAATGATTTAATAAAGTTATCGGGAGATATCTTATTTATAGAAGGGATACCATATATTAGTAGAGTGTTTATCAAAAAAGAAGTTAGCATTAAGTATTTACTTTCTATAGCATTTTCTGAAGGTCTTAAAGACCAAACATGGCTCCAAAAGCTTCCGGATATTTCTTTTAGTGAAGGTGAATTGTATTATTCAGTTTTACCCGATAGTTTGGAAAGCTCATATAACAAAATTAGAAAGAATTATAAGAAAGATTTCAACGCTAAGGCTCGTATAAATTTATTTGGAAAAAACTTCTTGATCACAGCCAAAATTATTAAAGGACAAGGAATAATAATTGAATTGATTCGTGATGAAAAAGAATCTGAGATAGATCTTGAATTTGTCATATTGCATGATTATAAATTGATAATACAAAAAAAGCCAGGATCAAAAAATATGAGCATTGAGATGAAAGGTTCACTCAAATTTTTAGGCACGGACTTTGAACTTGTTCTAACATTCAATCCAAAATATCGGAGATTAGAAGGATCTATCAAAGCTAATGATAAGATTTTTGGAATGGATCCATTGCTTGAGGTGTATTGGTCTAAAATGAACGGATTTATAATTTCTAAATGGCCGATAATTGGTGAGTTATGTTGGAAAGCGGAAGATTTTGCAAAATTAATCGAAGAAATTTCGAAAAAATCCATATTTTGTACTGTAATTAAAGAACTTAAACTATATGAAGAATTTGAAGGAAAGTTGAAAATAGAATCCAAACAACATCTTCCTAGAATTCCAGGAAAAGACTTTTCCCTTGATGTCTTTGGTTATTACACAATTATTATAAAAGCTCCAAATAAAGATCCAACTTATATTGAAGAGATCCCGATATCTTTCCGATTTGATATAGAGTTTCCAAAAGAAATTTTGAGAGAATTTTTTGAAAACAATCTAATTATATAAATATATTACTAATAAAATACAAATTAACTTTGTTTTAAAATTGAGTATAATAAAGATAGTCTTCAAACAATAGAGTTTTGGCAAAGCACAACTCATACAGCAAATTTGTTTGCATAGAAAAATTTTTTTTAAAAAATTTTTTTAATATTTACTATAAATCAATAATATATATATATATATAACTTATAATTCTAAAAAAAACATTGACATTACCTGAAACTATAGTATTTGAATTACAACTTAAATGTGTAAAACAAACTAGAGATTCTCATCATCAATTTAATACTCTTCAACCTCTTGAAACTCTTAGTAATTTAGCAAAAAGATCTCGAACTAAACAAATTGGTAAAAAAAGGTGTAATTATATTAATCATAAAACAATATATTTATATTATAAGGATCAAATACAAATAAAATCACTTGCTTTGTCAGTTGATAATCAAGATTTGATAGTTAATTATTCAAAAGACAAAACATTGGAAAAATTAAAAGTCAAGCATAGGTTCGTACAATGATTATAATTATATTTCACAAATGCCTATTGATCAACTGCAAAAATTTCTTCAGAATTAAAGTATGTATATATAATTAACAATGAAAAACTTAATCTTGATAGAATTATACAAAATATTATACCTCTTTATGTTATGAACATTAATATAGATAGCGCAGCAATACTTATAGCAAATAATAAGGAAATTCAAATAAATAATGAAGAAGTAATTCAATGCATAACTGAGTCAATTGGAAAAGCTAGTTATAGAAGTATAAAAGATATCTTGAAGTATATAATTCCATTTTATATTGAAGAAAATATATTAAATATTTTATAGTTATTGTATGGGTTGTAGTGAATAACCCAGTTACACACGGGTTCATATTCCGTGCCGAAGGCACGGGATT